CGCGCTGTGGGGGCCAAAGCCACCAGCCACCCAGTGCCGCACTTTAGGAGGGCGAGCCCCGAGCTCGCTCCCGGGGCCCAGGGGTTACGACTTGTTGGGGCTCAAGGGGATTACACTTTCGTACACAGGCACCTGCAGCTTCCTAGATTTTATTTCAGGTTTTTCGACCTGTTTTACTTATTTATTTACTTTGGCCCTAGCCTTAAATCCCTTCTTCTGAAAGGAAAAGAGGTTTAGGAAAAGTAAGGTATCCTTACGTAAGTCCTTACAGCTTTAGACCATCACAATTGTAACTGCGCTAGCGCTAAAAAGACTTAGACACAGTAGAGGTCATGTTTAAAAGAAGGAAAAAAATGCCTCATTTTCTCTTCTACTATGTGTACTGCTGTTCTTACTAGCCCCAAGTTAGTGATCTCCGCAATAATAAACTGAAACAACGTGAGGATACACATACACGCTTAAATGAATAAAAGTCAGAATAACTATCAGAGAAACTTATTTTCACAAAAATATTTGTAACGCTGGCCTTGAAACCAGTCTCACTGCTGCTAGTACCACTCCAGAGACTGCTGCAGAGGCAATTCCCAATTATCTGTGTAAATTACTTGTGTGAGTAAAGTCCAGATCAGGCTCGCAGTCAGCCTGGAGCCAAACATTACGTCGTGTGGCAGATTCGCAGCTGGCATGCTATTTCTGTGCAAGCACTGGGTTTTGCAGTGTTAAAGAAATGCAGCGAAACACCAATTCATGAGGCAATGAGCTGAGCCACCCGAGGTAGTGGAGCGAGACCTGGGTGAGCGAGACCTAGGTGAGCTCACCGCTGAATCTGAGTTACTCTGTGGAGGTGCCTCTCCTGTGACCATGGCAGAACATTGTCACATTAGGTGCCACAGGCTATAGGTATATTGAGGAAGAGACAGTGCCCTGCTCAGCATATGCAGCTGGAGAAAAATTTGGGTTTGACACAGACATTCTCATCATCCCACTTAGTCCCTTTTCCCCTGATTTTCACAGGGGGAAAGCTCTTTCGGATTGATGTTTTTGTAGGCTACAGAAAGACACAGAATGCTTTTGTAACCTAAAAAACATGCAACATAACTTTTTTTTTTGGTAGGGTATTGTGTGGGTGTGCATGTGTGTGGAAATAAATTCCAGCTAACCATGGTGTATGTGATAAGAAATGGAGCGCAAAGCTTTTTAAATAGCTTGCCTTCCACTATTGCAAGCAATAACTTTAAAAATAAAAGAGTGTCTATGCTATTCTGTTTAAACACAAGTCAGGAGACTGCTTTTGTAACGTGCGTGGAGCTGTGCTACTTTAGGGGTAGCAGTTTTTCGTCATGGGCGTTTCAGCAGCGTGAGTGATGCTCCGCCGCGAGGTGGCTTGAGGATCCCGTCCCAACCTGTGCAGAGGTGGCTGTGACATGCAGCCAGCCCCTTCAGCTGCCGCCCCGCCCTTTGCAAGTCCCCACGAAGGTAACAGCTCATCAGCGCTACCTAGCATGGCTTTCCGTGAGAAGATAGGCAGCACTGGCTTTTTGAGGGGAGAGCTGCTTGTCTCGGCGGTGGTGCACTGGTTGAAGATACTGGGTCTTAGCCAGGGCTTGAGCCCCATCTCCTGTAGCTCCCATCAGGCTTGCTCGGTTCTCAGGATCTGGGGATGTGGAGACAGCCCTCTGTTAGCTCTGCATTCCCCTCATTTCCAAGGAGGAATTGCGAGCTTCCCAGACTGTACGTAGGAGTAATCCGTGCGGGGAGGATTAGACCCTCTGTCATTGACGGAGATGCCTGAATTGCTTTTGCAACCTCGCATCTGGCTGCCTGAATGAAGAGGAGGAAAGCAGCCGGGCCGATGCTGACCTTCCATCTTATTTGACTTCCAAATACACCGAGTATGATCAGCTGAGCAAACTTCCATCTTTAGCACTTGTCAGTACATACATTTTCATGATACATGTTTACTTATAAAGAAAAATGTATTCTTTGCATATTGCATTTGATGATATGTTGTCTAGGTCAGAAGTTGATGGGATATATGTTGCTAGGGAAATCTAATAAATGGGCTTTTATATATGTGCAGTATTAAAACCCTTCTGCGTGAATATAGGAACACAACATGCTCTTTAGACAGATTTCATAGGCAGCAGTGTTCTCTGCAGGGAACGACTTAATTCCGATTGTCTTTGATTTGGTAGGCCCTTTTTGTTTTATATTGCTAATGCGGTTTACAAATGGTACACTGCTGAATTGAATGTTGCAAATTCTGTTTCTGCCCCTAGAGGGGAGTATTGTCCGTATCGCCACTTTTAAGTGGGTTTTTGGTTATTTTTGTTCGGGTTTTTTTTTTTTTAGTAAGAGCACTGTGGTAAAAAAGCAGTAGCAAATATACTTTGTATTTCCCTAGTCTGTATAGAAAATAGCTTTGTGAAGGGAGGCAAAAAAGTTGATTCTTTCCCTTTAAAAACTTAAAAGGTATTTAGTTTATCTTATCTGAGAAATAAATGTTGTAAAAAGCATAAAGCTCGTTTGTTCCATGAAACTGTTCTGAAAAATGGGGACAGTGGTTTAAGCAACCTTTTCAGGCTAAAAGAACCAAAACGTCTCAGTGAGCTGCATTTTTTCACTCAGAGGGAATTGGCTGTAAAGACAGAAGCTCTTATAAACTTTGCTGTAGGATGCCAGAGAAAAGCTGCGAGTCTGCCTTTTTTCTTCCCAGAACTTGTATGAAGTAGAGCATGCTCACTAGAGCTAAACCTTTGGACCATAACTGAACTTTTGGCCAGCAGTTCATAGGGAATTTTTGATGATTTTCTATCAGCTTGTAGATACTGAAAAATCTTTTTGTGTCATCGCAAGGCCTAGTCTCCTTGGAGCCCCAGTCTCGCCATCGTTTTGAAACGACCCCAAAGCCACTTTTGCTACCACTAGGGCTGCCAGGCATCTGATATAATTTGGGATTTTAAATACGACGTGGTCATACATCTGAAGAGTGTACAAACAGATTTTTCCCATTTTTTTCCATGTTATCATGGAGACTGAAGGTTGCCAGAGATCCTGAGAGTGTATACGGTTGAATCTGTGCCATTAATCTACAAATGCCTAATTTATCAGCTGGAGACTGCAGACATTTGTCAGTACAGTGTTTAAGAAACTCCAAAAATTTTAGTAGAGCCCCGAAAAACAGTTTTCCTTACCACTCCCGGAAGACACTTAAAATTCAGCAATGTGTAGGATGGCTATCCACTTGATGGCAGCATAACCACGCTGCTTGCTGTTCTGTAGCGAATACACAGGCATTAAAATTGTATGTGCAAGTGTACACGTCCTGGGTGCATGTTAGAACAAAGTCTGCTCTTACATGAAGCACTTCATTAGCAAGCTAACCATTTTATGCTGTAGAGCAATTGATTATAAAAGCAGTTGACTGGAAGATACGGTGCTATTTTCAAGATTTCCATTGGGAAAGCCAGATTTTGTTTGCTTAGCTTTTTTTAATGGAAAATTATTCTATGAAAAATGTGTGAGTTCTCAAGCACTGCCTTTGCCAGAAGGCAGCCTTTCCCAGATGCAGGCTTGCTTGTGTGGCCCTGAGCAAGGAGTGACCAGCAAATCTACACTTTAAAATGAGCCCTTAGTTTTCAATCAGCCAGCCGTCTAGATGGGAACATTTCTGTTCAATTTGCATACGTTGTTCTTCTTTCAAAGGGAAGATTTCATTTATGCATCCATTTATATTTACAGAAAGGGATCTGGCAATGCTTTTGGGCATTGTATAAATATTACAAAACTAATTAGGAGCTATCAAGCCATACAAATACGCATTTCCTTTCCCCGTTGTTTTGCCTTTTCTTTCATATTCAAGCTTCAAACTGCCTGAAG